CATTGCCTTCTTTTTATTTTGCAAGCTAAGAAGAGATACCAGTGAACCTAAATAGTGGACGAAACAGGAGTGTTCTAATTTTTTTTTGGAGGGGGGCATAAGGGCCACTGTTTTAAAACTGCCATTTACTTACTTGCCTTATTTGATTTGCAAATGAAATACTATTATGTTAATGTAAAAATAAAATACGCAAACTAAACTGTATATAAGTACAGAAGCATTTAAATTTAATTGCTGTGATAAGTACAGCAGTTCTAGAAGTAAAATAAGATTTCTTTTTTTTAGAAAGTTACCTGTGAGTTTACAATCAGATTCTAACTGTACAATGGGGACATTTTACCTTTCTTTCTTGGATAGGATCAGTTCTTAAGAGCAGCCCCGGTAACTGGTGGAATGGGAGCCGTTTTGATGAGGAAAATGGGCTGGAGAGAAGGAGAAGGATTAGGAAAAAACAAAGAAGGCAATAAGGAACCTATTCTAGTTGACTTTAAGACAGACCGAAAAGGTGAGACAGTCTTTCTGGAATGCTCGTGGCACATCTCTTTTCTACTTAAGGGCTCCTCCCCTTCACGCGTGGTTTTGATCCCAGTGGTCCTGCACGAGGTGCGCTTCTGGTGTGGACGGACAGCTCTTTGTCAGAAAAAAAAAAAGTTTAACCCATGTTCACACACAGCAGCGTATTTTAATATAAATGTAGTTGGAGACACTAATCTGAGCTTTTAAGAGGCAACTTTTGTCGGTGCTATTTGCTAAATATCACGGGAAGAACGCACGTATCTAATCACACGACCACAATTTTAGCTAGGCTTCATGTGTAGAAAAACAATTTCCATTGTGTTTTCTCGGCAGGGCCATATGCTGGGTCTTATTTCTAGGGTTTGATTTGTTTTTCCTTTCGCAGATTTTTTCATCCGTATATCCCATTGCAGTGCTTCTTTGTTTTCCCTCCATAAATCCCTTTTGCTTGTCCCTCTTGTCAGGCTCACTAGTTGAGCTCTGTTGGGGTGGGGCTGGAGAGCATAGTAGACCATTCGCTGACCAGTGTTACCTCTTCATACTGCCCCAGAGTTTATAATCACACGCAGACTTGGGTTAGGGCACCTTGGAACTTTGCCTGCCTGTATTTTGCTACTGT